CACTGTTTCCCTTCTCAAAACCGAGTACCGTTTCTTCGTCGACAGTGGCTTTTCCAGGTGACACGTCTTCAGCTGCATCTTTTGTTCCGTTGTTTACTTCATCCCAACTGAAATGTCCTGGACCGTGATAACGCCAAAGCCTGTTGGCATGCATCACCTTTGGTTTACCTCGCCGACCACATCTTATTCGGAAAGTCACGTCTGAGAGACGATCCACTATGTCATATGGGCCTTCCCATGGAGAAGACAACTTAGAAGACTTCCCTTTGGTCTTTCTGGGATTATACAACCACACCGTGTCTCCTGGTACAAAGCAAACTTCAATAGATCTCTTATCATAACATAACTTAATGGAATCAGCAGACGTTTTCAAGTATGAATGCACTGGATGGTGAATATCATCCATCCTTTCCGATAACACTTTCACGAACTCTGACACATTTTCAGTCAACTCTTCATAAGGTGGGCGTCCTGTTAACAGATCCACTGGCAACCAAAGTTCCCGACCAAACATCAACTTTGCTGGAGTGTATCCAGTGGTTTCATGTTCTGCTATCCTATATGCCACCAACAGTGGAGGGAGTAAGACATCCTAGTCATCTTGGCAGCTATTACAAAACTTTGCCATTTCCTGTCCCAGTGTCCAGTTGTACTTTTCTACCATCTCACCAGACTGTGGGTGAAGTGTTGTTGTTCTGGTCTTTCGGATGCCAAACAACTTGCAGCATTCATGGAACACAGCTGATTCAAAGTTATGGCCTTGATGCAGTTCGTATGGCATACCAAACCTGAAGAAGAAATCACTAATAGCCGAAGCTACAGTTGTAGCTTCTTGATTTGGTATTGCATATGCCTCAGGACACTTAGTGAAATAATCCATCACCACACAAATGCACTTGTTTCCAGCACGAGGTTGGGGCAAAGGACCAGCAATGTCAACGGCCACTCTTTCCATTGGTGCACCAACTTGATATAACTGCATTGGAGCACGTCCCTTATGCTTGGGTCCCCTTTACGTCACAACATGTACTGCAGGTCCTGCACCATTCTTCCACA